GGGTTTGTTTTGCTTTGATCAGAAATGATTGCTCTTCTCTACCTAGTTGCAACATCAAAACTTCGATCACGTTTTCCGTTTCTTGCTGGGTACACTGTTGGAAACGGGGTTGTCGATTTTTGACATATTTTTGAAACTTGATTCTCGAGCACACCATTTGCTCTAAAAAGTCTTTTTACAAACCACAAGAAAGAGCACATTTGAAAGTACCCAAATTGTGTTGTCGCTTTTGCTCCGCTTTTTTTACGGAAATAATAGAAGAAGAAGAAGGTTAAGTAAAACAAACTAAATTTACCAAGTTTTTATTTTTTTCGCCTCGTTTATAATTTGCTTAGTTTTCTTGATTGAAGTTCTGAAATTAAAGTTTAGGTACGGATTTTGTAGAGAATTTCGCGACACTTCTATTAAAAAAAGAACTCTAGGGGATCTAAGGAACAGGAGTTAAAGCAAAAATACCAAGACCGGATTCACGGTTGATTTTTCTTTTTTGTGAAGCACATTTCTAAGCCTATAACATTTTTACTAGATGAGCTAACGGGGTCAATCAATAGTCATCTTGTAGAGCGTTTTTTACTGCATCTTTTCTTCATAGAGACAAATTTACTATCACTTGTTTCACTATAGAAAAATTAATTATTCAAATCGAGTCAGGACTTCTGGGCCACCCTTTATACCAATATTTAAATTAATATTATTTATATTAGTATAAGATGTATATAAATTGAAAAAAGTAGATGTCATGCAAAAAATTGTTAGTTTATGACTTGAATTATACTTTATTTTTCTACAGAAGTTTATCAAAGACTAAAATCGAATTGAATCAAAGTTTTGAATTTTTATTCAAATTGAAGTGAGTCAATATTTTTGTAGTTTTGTTTGACAAAAAGAAAAATTTTCTACTTATATGTGTGGAGTTAAATAGTGTTTCTATTGATTATAAAGCAAATTTATCTAAATAATTAGATTCAAAGAAAAGTGTGCCTTTGCGTATAAAAGGACAAAGGTGAGTTTGTAATAAGATTCAAAAAAAAATATTTCAATAGTCAAACCGAACGAAACAAAATTGTGAAATTCTCAGTCGAATTGAATCGAAAATTTTTTCATATCTAGACGATTCTGAACGATCTTGATCTAGAAAAATTCTCGATTCATGTTGGTCTCTGAAGTTTATCGTATCAAGTTTCTAATTGAATTAGCAGCATCTAGACTAAATACATAAAACGCTTCTCTCTAGAGCTTTTCTTACACAAAAAAACATATTGTTATTCCTGATCAAATTTTATTCATTGATTTTCTACAAAACGGGATGAATATTTGTAACATCGCTACCAACATTCACTCGTATTATCATACAAGAAATGTTAGCAACAATGAACTCTCGGACTCAACGACAATGAATATGGAATTTAATTATAATAAACGAATAATAAATTATGAGTAGATTATGTTGAGAATGACAACAAAATCTTAGCTAAATTTTTCTTTTAAAAATATTACGTTAAATGTAACTTTATTAAATTATCGATTCTAACAAGAAAAGTAAAAATAAAAATATGTGAACAATGTTAAGCTTATATGTTTGTTTGTTAAAGAAAAAGAAAATAATTGTTCACCACTAAAACAAAAAGATATCTAACAGATCAACTAAAAATGCTAATGTAATCATAAATGACGAAGCTTGATTAAATCACATTAAGAGGAGAAAGAATCAATCACAAGCCCATCTGTTTTATCGATAAAAAGTATTTAAAAAAAAAAGTAGAAAACAAATAGTAATATCAAATCACATATAATGAAAAGAAAACATAACGTTCAACAATTGCACTTGGAAAAAGATCACAGAACAAATAAATAAAAACGACTTATTCTCTTATTGACCAATCAACAATAAACCATTTGGATTTAATTGCTGTTGTTATTACATATATCCAATTTTTTCTTTAATATTTCGACCGAACAGATTGGGCTAGTGATGATGATGTTGATGTCTACTAAAAAAAAAATATATAAAACAAGTGTGAACAATTGGTTATAATGAACGTATTATGAGATATTTTGAGAAAATACAGACAAGCAGTCCTATTTTTAAGTTAGGTCAAAAGATCAATAGATCTGTGGTGTTTACTAATTAGTATTGAAGTCTAGTCTTCATGTGAAGGAAGATACAATTTTCCCAATAGTTTAGAAGAAAAAGAAGATACCCTTCTAGTTTCATCTTTGCCGATTACAGACTAAATTGTCTCTGTAAAACAGAGAAAACTACTCATGTATAAGATAAAAGTTTTAATCACTTATTAGTTTAAGCATGAGAACATTTTTTGATGATAATATCCGGTATTCTTAGAACACACTCAATACAGACGATAATCATCTTTAATCTGGGAATATTGTGTTAGTTCACTAAATTTCATTTTAAGTCAACTAACTAATACCAAATATCAAACGTTTTCATCGATTTTGTCAAACTAGAATTATGTCTGAAATGGTTTTATTCTAGTGAATAACATCTTTATGTATTAACAAAATTACGACAATCATGTAGCACTGACTTCCCAACGGTCCTTTCAGAAAAAAGAGGAATGTTAAAACTTCTTTAAGAGGAGCGTTGGGTAAAAAAGAGGAAAAGTGGAGCCATATTTTTTGGCCGAAAACCGGTACTGACAATGTTGTGTACACGTCAAAGTGGCTTAAGACTCTCAAAGAAATTATATTTCATCCTACATAAAGTATTTTTTTCCGTGTTTCACGAGTAAAAACCTAAAACAAACACAGGAAAAAGTTATTCTAGTTTAATACAGAAACATATCTGACTTTTCTAATAGCATCACTAACAAATGTGATATTTTCTATCAACTTTCTGATTTTTCACGGTATTTATCTTTCTTCATATGCTGTACTATCAACTGCCATCCTTTGTTCCCACAATCTAATTCGCCGGTTTTATACAATGTACATACGAATGTTGATTCCTTAGCACCTTACTTTAACCATCGTCTCACAAGGAATTCATCTACTGTTTTCTATACCCACGAGTGACTGAATTTTGTTCCATATGACGGCATTGATAAAAAAATATATCTGAAACTACTTTCAGATCTAAAAATAGCGTGAATCCTGGTGATTTTGCTAAAAAATTCGAGAAAAAAAAGAGGAAAAAAAATTAGCTCAAAAAGAGAAAGAGGAGCGGTTTTGGATTAAAGAGGAAAAGGAGGATCATTCACAAGCCAGATCTAGCATGGAGCTTGTTCATTTTACCGATGTGCTATTTCTAAAAGATACTGACAAACATTAACTTCCTCGATTCATTTCTTAAACACACGTACTTTTTTCGGTAAATCAACTTTTAATCTTTGTGCCAATTTTTTTCCAAAAGCATCATCAACGTTGGCCAAAACAGCCACGGCACGTTTAATAACATCTTTATCTGTACACTGTTCTAAATGTTCGGCCATATTATCGAGGATATTCTGACGACCTTGATCAGTTAGTACTTGCTAAAAAAAAATGTAAATAAATAGACAATGACAAATAATGTAAAAAGTGAAGTCATCTTACTGTATAAAATACACGTGGTTGAGTAAAATTATCCTCATCTTGTGATGGATGACGATCGGATAAACCAGCCTCATAGGTTGCATGTTCAATATGTGCTGAACGTGATGTTACATCAGGACCATGAAATTCATTACGATAATAATTTGGACGATCACCTAAATAGCAACAATATAGAAAATATATTTAATCCATTTAAAAATTCGTACTAACCATAATTCTGTGATGTATTCATTGGTCCATCTCGTTGATATGTACAAACTTTGACATTTTTGTTTGTTTCAGGATTATTTACTAGCAAAACAAAAATAATATTGTATAAATTATTGTAAACAAATAGCAAATAAATATAGATATACCAGGTACAATCAAAAAATTTGCTCCAATACGATGACGTTGAGTATCTGTATAACTAAATAAACGTCCTTGTAACATTTTGTCTGGTGATGCTTCAATACCAGGTGGCATATGTGCTGGTGAAAATGCAAGTTGTTCAATTTGTGTAAAATAATTTTCAGGATTTTCATTTAATGTTAATTTTCCAACTTTACGTAATGGAAATTGTTTTTGAGAAAATATCTAAATATATTATTTTCAAAAAAAATTTACAATATTCATTTCAAAAGACAATAGATTCTAACCTTTGTTAAATCAAATGGATTATATGGAAGATTTTTTGCTTCTGCATCTGTTACAGTCTAAACAGTAAGATAATATTTAAATAAAAATAAAATATTATTCTAAATTTGTATACTTACTTGAATATATAATGTCCAACTTGGATAATCTTTTTTAGCTATTGAATCAAATAAATCTTGAAGAGCATAATCTGGTTGTTCACCGGCCAAAAATTTGGCTGTTTTTGGTTCTAGATTTTTAATTTTTTGATTACACTAAAATTACATATTATTATATAAGCAAAGATTATGAGATCATATTACTTTTACTTACTCTCCAATGAAATTTAACCCAAACAAATTCATTTTTAGCATTCACCATTTTAAATGTATGACTACCATATCCATGCATATGACGAAAACCATCTGGAATACCACGATCCGAATACAAGAATAAAAACTAAATAGAATAATAAATTGTTAGATAAATAATAAATATATTGTAATAGTTCATACTTGATGTGTTGCTTGTGGATTATTCGCAAAAAAATCCCAAACTGCATTAGGATCTTTTAAATGAGATTGAGGATTACGTTTTTGTGAATGAATAAACATTTGAAACTAAAACATAAATCAAATAGAGTATAATTTTATAAATCATATCATTTATATTTGAATGTTTTTAACACGTACCAAAAATGGATCTCGAACAAAAAATATTGGTGTATTATTACCAACACTATAAAAAATATTTAATTTAAATATTAATCTTCTAATTCTATTCTTTTTAAACAGTAATATTAAATATAAAAAAAATAATTTTACATACCAATCCCAAATACCTTCATCTGTATACAGTTTAATGGCAAAACCACGTGGATCACGATTTGTATCGGCTGAACCACTTTCACCAGCTAAAAAGAAAATATTAGAATTATTAGTTATAGAAACTTTTAACTTTAATTAATGAGAAGTATAACTAGACAAATAAGTATACATTTTTTATGAAAACCATCATTTCACTATGGAAAAGGTTGTTAACACACATACACACACACGAAATGACAATCATCTTCGACTACCATAAAAATTTCAGAAAAAAAACACAAAATTTTGTTTACTGCTGATTAGGGATGCCACTTTACTTTTACTAATTATCACATTATCCGGTAAAAGTAATAAGCGTGTGTTACTTATTACCGATAAAAAGGTAATAAATTTTGTTGTTTTATTACTTATTACTTTTCAAGTAATCATTTTTTATTATTTTACTTATTATTTTTTATTACTTTTCTTATTAGTAATATATAAAGTAATAAAAGATTATTACTTGAAAAACGTAATAAGGTACTAAGATTTATTACTTGTTTTCTGATAATAACTAATAAGTTTTATTACTTATCACTTAGTAAAGTAGAGTAAAGTGACACCTCTACTGCTGATGATAAATTATCATTAGCAGTAGAGGTGTCATTATTGATAAAGATCGCAAATTACGTCTAATATCAAAATTTAATGCTGATTTAAATTTGAAAACGTACTATGATCGAAGAAAATTCTTTTTTCATACCAGACATAAATCAGACGTTTATTTTTGCAAATAGAAATTAGTCAGATAGTTATAAGTGTTCACTCTCATTTTGCCAGTGACATGTCAACCGTTTGAAACCCGATAACTAAGATATAAATAAAATACTTACCAACAGTCGAAAATCTCATGGCCACTCGTGTTTTTGTTCCTTTTATGAATACTTTGGCTTTGCATACATCCGATATATCGTCAGTTGCTTCAAACACACCAAATGCACCACCACTAGAAACATAAAAGTAGTAAATATTAATCTAATATTTTTTAACTCTTAAAATCCATTTTCATACCCTTTTGCATGAACAACTCGTTCTGGAATTCTTTCTCGATCAAATCTTGCTGTATCTTCTATATAAACAACATCTTGTAATAACACAGGTCCTCGTGGTCCTACTGTTTGAACATTGGATCGATCACCCACAGGACGACCCCAACCTGTTGTCAATTGTTCTGTTTTCTATTTTAAAATAAAAATCCATAATTAAGCAACTTATCTAATTCATATCCTCTCAACAGAGATACTATTTAGAATATATAAATTTCGATTAACTTTCAAAAGAGTTAGTGGATATTTCGTCTGATCATAGCAGATACTTGAGACAGATACAAGTATAAAACTTGAAACTTAACATAAGAATAATCAAATCTCATTATCATATTTCTACTGCTATAAAATCTTCAACTCTCTACACATTAGACTGAGATTATGAATCATACACGTGGAAAAATTCAATACAAAGTTTTTATTCGTATTCTTTTTTAATGTCATCTATTCGACTATTGTTGTATACAACTTACGTGTGACTTTTTGAATTCTGGTAACTGATGATCGGCTGGACCTGGCTCTTTTGTTGGTTGTGATGGAGCAGCCATATTGTTGTTGAGTTTTCTTTCAATATATCTAGAATAAGTTGTTAAAGATTATCTATACGTTTAATACAAAGTTTTCTATCTTTATCACATGCGAACGATATTGTCATCCTTTTCGATGTTCAGACTTTTGAGGATTAATCGAGCGTGGAAAGTGAATTAGACAAACCTCCCAACTAAGCTAACTTTTTTGTCTCTTATTTTTTTTTCTTTCTGTTTTCGAATGGCGTAGATTTTTTTTCTTGCTTCTTTACTTTCGTCTGTACTAGATGTTACATCATCATTAATGGTATAGGTACTTTTATACTGCTGGAAAAAAATAAACGCGATATTTTGAAAGTAATTCGTGACAAATTTTAAACGATGTTCAACACCAGATTATTTATAATTATAACTTTTCAATGGATACTACCAGATAATAAATGAAGAGCGTATTTTTGAAATGTGAAAACAATGACATCGTAAAACAGTCAAATATCAATAAATGTTTCTATAATTAAATTCTTTTGACAGGCGAAGAGAGTGGAATCACTCCTTCCGACTGTTATGTGAAAGCACGAGTAAAACCAAAGTTGTGCCTATTTTTACATGAAACTCTGAACTAATCAATTGTCATAAATTTTCAAAGATCGCATATGATATTGTAAAATAACTTCTATTAATTCAGTGTTAAATAATACATTTCGTAATCGCAAAACATAACTCATTTTAGCTCTATTTCATTCTAAGATAACTACGAGATAGCGAATATAATAAGAAAAAAAGAGTATAGATTAAATGTGATAGCAAAAGAAAGTTGATACAGTCGAGGCGGACTTGACTACCATGAAACACTTACAGTTCTGTATAGACAGAGCATGTATAGTAATAAATATTTGCATATTTTAACAGGTCAAGCGTGATTTAATCTGAATTGAAAAAACTTACTGAAAGGAAAATTCTTTAGCTTTGCAAGTTTCAGAATGACTGTTGACCGAAAAGAGCGATGAAAAAGTGAGTAGCAGTCAAAAATAGCAGAACCACTGAATAAACAAAAAACAATTTGACATGAGGTTATATTATTTTTCTATATTGACCGCTGGAACGAGCAAAACATATGTCGCTACCTATCTGCTAAACTTCAGAATTTTTATCTTTGACCTCTTTCCTCTAAAATTGAAAAACAAAGTACAACGTTTATTAGAATATTCTGCAAGCTGAATTAATCGTAGCAGTATAGGCGTCGCTTTTCATCAAACTATCATAGACAGCTCTCCCGCTAGTAAGCATTTCAAGCTTACATTTTTAGATTATACTCTTACAAAAAAAGAAACTGATAAAAAATTTGTTAATTCTTTCATGTCATACACCCTGTGATTTTTTAGATGGTAAACAAACGTAAGAGGATAAGAAATCACAAAATATTAACGTTGAGAGCTCTTGAAAAGGGTCAAGGTAAGTGTCCGATACTTTTTCAACAATCGCGAGTATCAACCCCCTTTCAAGTTGAAAATAGATCGACAGTCACAATTATTGGAAAAAAATTTTCAGACAGCTATCTTAACTAGACACGTCACTATCCTCAGATTTCTGCGTGGGGTCAATGATCCCAAGACGGTTACGGAGGTAATATAAGAGCTTTTAGCTTTCTCTTTTGCTGGAAAAAAACAAAAACTTTTGAATTATTGGGTGGGGGTGGCGTCCAGTGACTTCTCACTGGTAGTGACACCTTTAATCTTGACTCTTGAAGAGTTCAAATAAGATATTCATACATTCTATTGATACAATGTATGGGAATTTCAAGATGATCCAACGTCTTGTAAGATGTTGTTATAAGATCTTGAAGTAAGATTTTACAAAACAACAGATTTCGCAACCCTAGAGATTCAATCTTCCATACGATTTCTGTACTATTCCTATATTTATCTTATAAGAGCGCATAAGGCAGTCGATGGAAATGCGTAAGATATTAATAATATATGTAAGGAAATGAGAAGAAAACTATGGGGATCGTATAGAAAAATCATATGGCAACTTTGAAGGGAAAAAAAGGGAAAAAGTCCTTGTCTTCGTTACAATGGAAGCAAAAACTCACTTTGAATTTTGAAGTTTTTTCGAAGAATCTCAAACGATATAAAGTGTCTATAAAGAAGCCTTACAAGAATCTTATAATAATCCTATACGATAACAAGATTTTCATAAATTCTATCAATATTCTACGTATTTTCATCTAATACCTTATATATGATTCTCATAAGATTTCTGTAAGATTTCTATAGAATTGCCGTAAGATCGGACGCCTAAGAATGTCATCTGTGACACTGACATAATTCTACAGATTTTTAACATATGATACCTGTGTGCAAGTTAACATTATAGTTAAGCAAACATGTTACTTCGTTAAAGTATTCCAACACATATTACTGTTTTATTTTGTTTTTAAATAAAAAAAACGAAAATATAAGGCAAATGTCAACATGAAATACTCATACCTTATCTCTCCGATCCTCTCGAAAAAAAGTGAGCAAATAAATAATTATAGGTAACTCATTCTTTTAATGTGCTTTGCGAGGCATTATAAAAACAGATATCATACACGTGGCAAACTAACATAAAAAAGATAATTTTTTGTTATATGACTCTATCGCTTCGGAAACTTGCCTTATGCAAACGCAGGAGAATGTTAGATACACCAGAAGTATCAACAATAGTCACAGGAAAGCAAATATAATTTAAATTTTATCTTTCTTACAGTTTTAACGGGTGCCTTACTGCGATCATAACCCGATCTCGAAGTCACGGCACGATATATTGATAACGAAATGTAGAAAATATCATCCGAAATCTGCTTTAAATCATCTTTTTCGCGTTTTTCACTATGGTGTATCGACTTTTATATTCTTCTGAGATATTTGGCCAACATAAAATGAAAAATTGCCTTTACAATGAAGTTTTCCACTTTATGACGAGATCACAGAGAAAATACGAATTTAAAAGTATGCTTTTTCCAGATTGCATTCTGAATTTGTTAATCTGTTATCACAAGAAAATGCTACTTTAAAGCCCATTATGGCAGAGCAAACATTTTTACACATTTTGAACTGGCTTCCATGTATTGAAAAACTACTTTATGACTTGACATAACCCATACGTAAAAAGTCTCCTTCAAAGTTAATTGCATTTTAGTGTCTACCACAGGACTTGAAATTTACAAGATAATCAGCATCCACTAAAGTCTATAATCACATAAAAGTTGAGGTCACTACCTTAGTGAAGCTTTTTTTCTCAAGCACATGACTTTTGAATTTCTTGAGTAAGAATATCATGGCGTGGAGACATTTCTTACTCATGCAAAACGCATTTTTTCCGATATCATCCGCTTAACTTTCTTGACTTACGTGCTTGAATTTCGTATCTCAAGAAACTTATGTACATGGGATTCTTATCTCAAACGCTTGGCTTTCTTGAGTCATTGGTTTGTGTGAAAATACGCTTTGTGTGTCATACCATTACGCACGGCTAGTAGGAACGCGTAATTATGCGTAGACTTTTCCCACAGATGTACGTGTTTCACAAAGCATCAAAATTTGTTCAGCGCCGTATGTGTGTTGTAACATCCTCTACGCGTTGCCATGTGAGTCTTTGTAACTTGATTTATCATTGCAAAATTGCAGTGTGTTATCGCTACATGTTTCTAATACGTAGAAAATCGTCACAACCCAACGAATGCAAAACATTGCGTCTGATGTGAATTTTAGTTTCGAGTATATATAACTAACTGTCTGTTGTTTAGACCATGATTTATGGTGACCGTTAGCGAGAGATTTTCAAAAGGTTTTACCTGATGAAAAGTCTATTTACAGTTAACAAGCAATGTAGACAATATGTATTTTTCTCTCATCTGTCTTCTGTGACATATATGTCTAAAATCCTGTTTTATACACAAAGGATAAAGTAGTAAATGAGCTGGAAAAAAAGAGATATGTGAGCTCGGTGTATTTGAAACTAAATGTCTGCTTGCTCCACTGAAAAATGCCCACTGTGTTACATCGGTCAGCTATGCTGAAGATTCTTGATCGTAAGTATCATGTCACGGAGTAGTAGCAGTTGCCTGATATTACTGAAGAAATTGATTGATCATAAGTTCCATCACTTTGAGTGATAGAAAGCATAAGGATTTGTGCGGTGAAACCTCTTCGTCTTAGAATTATGGTTAAGTCGATGAATATTCTCCACTCTTGAGATTCATCATTCTTATGGTATAGTGTTTCCAAGTGTGGAAAGATGCATAGCAGAGAACAAAACAAAGTATTGTGAGTGTGAAAACAGAAGAGAATGCAATGCGTTTCCAGTACGTCGATTCTGTCCAAAGTGATGTACTACTTCAGTGTATACATAACATATTTTGTTTCTTAATGTAGTCATAATGTCATTTATCAATATTTTATGGTAAACATTTCATGGCGACAGCATCGTTTGTTCTCGAAATATGCGATTTCCAATGGGACAATACTTAAGCCCCTTTCCTTTCTGAAAAGATGACTGATGACTTTGTTGAAGTGGACAATTCGTACTATGTATAGAGGCACTTTGTGTCTGAGGTTTATAGTTCTAAAAATTACCGGTATATCGAACACGGGCCACCGCCAATACTCGATCGTCTCTCGACAATACGATATTTCTTCTGGGAACAACTAGACTTGGCACGGAAACCTGTAAGACTATGAGTATGCCGCCGACAAGTCTGAGCTGCGTAGTGATCACATACATCAGAGGATCTTTGACTTCGCGTTAGACAGGACAGGATTCAATAGGGTTACATACTTCTATTGACTAGCTTTTTAGCTATTTTTTTCATGTCCTTCTATTTTGGTAAATAAAATTCAAGTTCAAGTATGTACATTGTACTGGTTTACATTTATTAAAATAAGATTCATACGAATTTCTGGTTGCCATTGTTCGACAAACAACTGTTCAACTAATTCATCTATAGCTGTTTGTTGTCGATATAGGCTTGGCCATGGTGAATTTAGTGTTATAATATTTATTGATAAGTTTATCTAAAGCAGCAACTGATCCACATTTGACTGATTATAGAAAAACTTTAAATGTGATTGAACCAATGATTTGGTAATTGAACAACCGGTATAGAAGCCAGAAACTGTGAACAGATTACCATCTGCGCTCGATATCTGACTACACATTGATGATCAATCATAGCATGTACAATTATTATACGTTCGATATGTTAAATAAGTCACGGATGTTGAACTTAGATCAGCACCAACATCAAGGAATTGATTTTCACCAACAAAAACTGTTGCACCAGAACTTAGTTCAAGCCCATCTGTTAATGAATTCCGCGCTGTTGTATCACGTATCAGTTGTAACGATCTTGAAAATGAATTTATCTTTGTCAATATGAATGAATCATTTGTGATCTCGTCTGAGATTCAAATAATTGTTGAGGGACAACATTAGTCAAGACATATGTTGAAGAATAGAAAATAGCTAATGTATCCGAAATAGTTTTAGATGATATAAAATGTTTGTAACATGTCAATGAAAAACCATCACTGAGTCTGAAATCTTTATAGTTTGAACAATTGACGATTTAATTTTAAGTGACCATTTTTGCAAAACAAAATCACTGGAGCATAATTGATCAAGCGTTGGATGCATAGGCACTGCATACACTGAGACTCGTGAGTCACGAAGCATTTCGTCTGTAGATCCCCTGGCATTTTGAAAAGAAAATCAATTAAAATTCCCAAATTTATCGCTATTAGGAAGGCGAATTTTCTTAACTCCGGCATCTGCTGGTGTGCTGCTGGATTTGTTATTAATGAAGGTCGTGCATCACTCAATCCTGACACAGTTGAGGATATCTTGTTAGTTAGATCAATTCAGAAAATACCTGAACAAAAACCAAATTTTTTTACTTAGATGTCACTTTTGTTTTCATCTTATGTTACTGTTACTTGCACATTTTGTTTATTAAAAAATGACCAGGCTTCTACAGGTTAGGCCGAGAGCAACGACAGGCAGCCATGCAAAGTCCAAGAAACATATCGACAGGCCCAGGCAGATCTAAACATTACAGGCCTGATGCAACCGGCACTTATTATATGCATTATATAATATATATGATGCACTTATTATATGCATTATATGATATATATGATGCACTTATTATATATCGTTGGATAGAGCTCATGGAGCTGATTAGGGAAATGTAGTTTTTAATCTTTTAAAAAGTTTTTCCATGTCAAAAATCGAAAATACTTGAAGAATGTAAACCTCGAAAAATCCTTCAGTATCTCGGCTCTAGATTGTCTTGAAGTCTTCCAACAGCTTTTCTCGAATTCAGCGTTAAAACTGAATGTAAAAAGGGTGTTTGACCAATTTCAAAGTTAAAAACCTGTCCAGCATGGACGTCCCTAGCCCGCCTTCTAAAGTTCGGACATGCAATATTGTAAAGCTATCTAGTTTTTTGTGTTAAACGTTGAAGCCGTCATTTGCATGTCTTTAGACTAGTTGAAAGCCCAGTTTTAACAGTACGATTCGCTTTTTTAGATTTTGTTTTGTTGCTACAAAGATTCATTTTTTCTAAATCAGTGACGAAAAAGGCGCAATTTTGACGCATCATATCCTCTTTGACAACCCAACGAGCTTCATTTCTGTTGAATAACCAACCATAGTAGAAAAGAGAAACAGAAAGGTATGATGTCGTCATGACACTTATATGATGTTGGCAAAAACATCGCGTCTGTTCAGTCCTCTGATCGCAACTGACAGTCGATTTCATATTGTAAAGAGTGATGCAGCATGATCTGTCAGATCGATTGCTCACTACTTGTGGCAAGGATGAATGTTTGAAGCAAGCACAAAATGGTAAGTTGATCATGTGTTCTTCAACCACATTCATTGTGGCACACACAAGCGTGATGATTGCAATATGTTGAGAATAGTGCAGAGAGAGATGACATCTAAGATCATGAGAATAGTAAAATGCTAATGGCTGGCTATCCATCCATATTACACAGAGAGGATAAAACCGTGCCTAATACTCGAAAGAACAATCACTGAATGTGACACTACTAGTCATATTCGGGAGTGAGTATGCACCTTGCCATTCTCCCTCTTTTATGCTTCAGCGACTCTCTTCATATAAGAGAGACCAAGGATCCGAACTCTGGACAATGCACATTTGCTTAGATGTGATACAGTTTCAATCGCTTCCGAGCGAAGTGATTCTTGAAATCTTCGAGCATTTGCACGCTTATGATATTCTCCATTCATTCTTTCGATTAAACGATCGCTTCGATGGACTACTCGGCAGTCTACAGTTTGATCTGAACTTTCATCGCACCA